ATGCCACTTTAGCAATAAAAAAGGGGGCTGTCAGGGGAATCTCATGGGGGGGTTACCTTTCTTTAATTTGTGAGTTGGAAAGACAGAGAAGAGAACATGGGAGGAGTTCAGTTGGGAAGGGGACACGAACAGGCTGGAAATAGGTGGGATTCCTGGCTATAAAAAAACAGAAAGTTTCCATTGATAAGGGCAGACAAAAAGATCAAAAAGAAAGAAAGAGGACACCCCTGAAAACAGAGAGTTTCAGCCATCAAAAACCTCCGTAAAAATCTATCTCCCTTTAGTTTTCAGCAACATAAAGAATTAGAAAAAAAAGGAGATAGAGTAGAGACATCATATGAGACTTAAAAGAGTTTTTTTAAAAGAGTTGACATCCAAAACAACAGAGAGACTCTTCCATTGAATTTTTCTGTTCAGTTTCGAGTTTAGTAGTTGAAGTTGACATTCCAGTTTGATTTCAATTTGCTGGAACTTCTTCTGAGATGTATTGGTCCAGTTTTGGTTTAATTCAAAGTTCAGTTGAGTCTTTTTGGGTGTTGATTTTTGCTGTTGGGTTTACAAATCATTTCAAGCTTCGTTGGAGTGTTGTTTCTGGTTTGGAATTGGTATTGCTGTTGGTTTGAACCTGCTGCTGTTGCTGCGACCATTTTTTGCTGCTGCCATTCTTTTGCTGCTGCTGATTTTTCTACTTTCTTCTTCTTGTTGTGTTTCAATATCCAGGTACACACTCAAATTTCACACTGATGTAGCAGTAACAATGAATATGAAATGATAGAAGCGAAGAATTTTTAATCGCTTGGTTTTGTAACTATAAGTCTTGTAAAGTGTTAGTAGATTGTATGATTCTTTAAGGTTATAAGTCAACGGAAAATGCATTAGGTAGTTTGTACTTAATTGAAACTTAGTTTGTTTAATACTGTGATATATAGTCTGTTTAGTAGCATACATGATATAGCCATGTAATTCGTGGAATGTACAAGTAGTTAGTATATTGATAATTAGACTTCATCTCCAGTCATGTTTTGTACATATAGGGCGGGTGGCTTTTAACCTTGCCAAATGCAACGTAGCTTTAATTTTTTTGAGGTCTAACTTTATCGGACTCCGTTAGGCAGTTTATAGGACAAGGTTTGAATCCCATTAGTAGCATCTTCTAGTAATTAATTCCATTAACCCCGTTTAAATGAGTTAGTTTAAATTCAACTTGAAGAATGTTTAGCGTGAATTTAGCATTTTTATTAATCTTGTATGCAATTTTCTTTATCAAATTAAAAGAATGTTCGCTCATGGAATAAGGCACGAAACAATTCCCCGCATCGTAAATAATTAATCCGATAATTAATAAGAATCCGGAGCTGGCCAAGCATGTAATTTAATTAGCATGTATTTTCTTTCTTCCATCTTTAGAGACAAACATAATAGAAAAATGTAGTCGCTGTAGGTTTATCCTTTCAAAAAATGAGACGAGCCTCGCAAAAAAAAATGCAAATTGCGGGGCCCTCAATAATTTATCAAAAAATAAAAATACTTAGAATTTGGGATGGACTGTTTAGTGAATTTCACTGCCTTCCCCAAAGATAATTACGCGTTAGACTCTTTAGGCGCGATTTTAATTTAAAATACCTTCTTAAATTCGGGTGTGCATTTATGTGACCCAAATTCAAATCTCAGCGGAGTCGGAATGTATTAACAACCACGGGTGCATTGATTGCGACGTGGTTCGAGATGCATTTTCACGACGTTGCAGTTCTATAAAAAAATGATAATAAAAGCGGTTTAAACTTAATAAAAGCACATAAGTCATAACATGTATTTAAATCAGATATTTAGCCATTATTACAATTTAAGCGACCGTGCTAGAACCACGGGATTCGGGGGTGCCTAACACCTTCCCTCGGGTCAACAGAATTCCTTACTTAGAATTTCTGGTTCGCAGACTTCATTTGGAAAGTCGAAAATTTCCTCGATTTGGGATTCAAGATAAACCGGTGACTTGGGACACCAAAAGCCAAACCTTTCCCAAGTGGCGACTCTGAATTAAATAAATAATCTCATTTCGAACATTGTCACTTAAATTGGAAAAACTCCCTCGCACATTTATCCTTTGGGGTAGGCGCGCAAAAAGGAGGTGTGACAATGAGGAGGTATCGAATGCTTCCTCTGTCTAATAATGTTACATACTTACATATACAATTCGAAGGGCCAAAAATACCCTCCTACTATTGAAAATGGAGCGGATATTTTTAGATCTAATTTTAATGATGATAATAATATATTTGCTCTTTGTATAGGAACTTTTGGATAGCATTCAAGATTGGCGAAATCAATCTGCAATTATCAAGGAACGTATGGATTGATATACAAGATTGACGGAATATATCAGAGGGCATCAAGGAAAAGAGACGCGATTAAAGGAAGAAGAAATAAATCAGATGATTATGACGGGATCAATCAAGGCTAAACTAAAGGAAATAAATAAATCACGTATATTAAAGATCTTGCCGAGTATTCAATTAAGCGTCTCAATATGGAGGATCAAGATTTTGGGCTCACACACAAGGAAAATCTTTACAGCCTCTTGTTCAAAAGAGCCGTTAAAGAATAACTTTATTCTTGGAAAGAATCAATCTCTTTCCAAGGATCAAATCTCTTGGGTTGACAAATCTTTCAAGAATTCAAGCCTCTCTCAAAGTATTTAAACTTGTAATCACACCTTAGCACATATACTTTGATCGAACCAAACACTCTCTCTTTGTTCTATTGCAAACAAAACATTGTAGCTCTCTAAGACTTTGTGTAACAAGTTAGAGAAGAAAGAGAGAACAACACTGGTGAGACATTGTGTCAAAAGAGACGAGTGATATAGGAACTGAGCTATCACACCATTCTCCTTGTACTCGAAGAAATTCATTCACTGAAAAGAACTCCCTTGCAACCCAAGGGGACTGGACTATGATTCACATTGAATCCGAACTAGTATAAAAATTCTGGTATCTTTAATTCCTGCATTTAATTTCAGCATCTTATATTCTATTGTTACTGTTGTCAACTTATTACATCTAGTAGANCCCTCTTGTACTTTCAATTGGTATCAGAGCAAGGCTCACATTTTTCTTTTGCTTAACAGCTCATGAGAAACGATCATGGCAAATCAAGTTATCGTAGGAGCACTCTTCCAGGAAGGAACTTCGCAAGTAAGGCCACCATACTTCAATGGATAATATTTCTCCTACTGGAAAGTGCGTATGGAGATATATGCAAAGGCATATGACGTTAAAGTTTGGAGAGTCATCAAAAAGGAAAATTATCCTCTGCCTGCTGCCGCTCAACCACTTGCTGATCCTGAAGATATAGATTCATATACAAACGAGCAAATGTCAGTGGTACAAGTAAACAATAAGGCGAGAAACTTGTTTTATAATGCTATAAGTGGTAAAGAGTATGAGATCTCTAGCTGTGACACAACCAAAGAGATGTGGGACAAGCTTGAAGTTACATACGAAGGAACCAACAAGGTAAAGAAAATACATATCAACATGTTTTTTCATAATTACGAACTCTTCCAAATGAAAGAAGGAGAATCTATTGAAGAGATGTTTTCCAGATTCAGCAAAATAATTTGCGATCTAAAAGCCTTTGGCAAACCATATACAAGTGGTGATCAAGTTAGAAATATTTTCAGAAGCCTACCAACTACTTGGCAGACCAAAGTAGTCACACTTGAATCTCAGGATCTAAATAATTTATCCTATGATGAGCTACGAGGAGAACTCATAGCCTTTGAAAAGACACTGTGAGCATGTGATTTTTGCCATACATGAAATACTCCTACAAAATCTAAGAAAATAGATTTTTTTTTAATTATCTGTCATTTTAGGAATTATTAATGGTTTACATTTTCCTTGCTTGTTTAATTTTTATTTAAATCATGAAAAAAAGAAAAAAAATAAATACTAATATATATATCATGCATTGCGTTTAGGATTTGTTTTTACATTTTTAAAATTAATCATAATCATTTGCTTATAATTTTTTTTGAAAATCACAAAACAAATAGCTTATTTTTACATTTTTTGTCTTTTAATCTTTTGTTTATTGATTTTTTACTTTTAATATAGAATTAAGTGTTGTTTATAATTTTTATAATTATCTAAGTAGTTTGATTTCACATTTTAGATAATTTAGGACTTTTAATTTTAGGATCTTTAATTAAAAAAAAAAGAAGAAAGAAGAAAGAAAAGAATAAAAGAGGTTAATTAAAGACAAGGGCTTTTATTTGGTTTTGGGCCAATTTAAACACCCCAATTCGGCCAATGGCTTCCCCCCCCCCTCAAAACCAATTAACCACCAGCCCAAACATTTCCCTCTAGAGCCCCAGCCCAAAGAAAATCGGACTTGACCCACCAAAACAACCCGCCCGTTTGCCCTTAATATAAAATTCCCTTTATAATTTTTCCCCCATTTGAACCCCAAACCTAAGAAGTCAGAGATGCGGCACCCCTTTCATCTTCCCCAACTCTCAACTCGTCCTCAACTCACCATTAGTTCACCCGAGTTCACTCAAAATGGTCCCCCCTCCACGTCATTTGATTCCCAACGGTTTTTTGTCGGTAGGAGTACGAATTTTCTCTCCCAAATAGCATGATTTCGGATTCAAAAGGATAATTGTTGGACGAGTGGGAGCCGTGGATAGATGTAAATCGATCCACGCCTTCCATTTGTCCCAAAAATTGTTCAAAAATCGAAAGATTTCGGATATGTTGAGCAGAAGATTCGAGAATTTTCGAGGATTATATATAGGTGGTAAGTCTTCTTTTTCAAAGTTTGAAGGAAAATATAAAGAAAATCAAAGGAAAAAATCATAGAGAAAAGATCGAAAGAAAAAATCTTCAGTAGCTGGGTCAAAATTTTCTAAGGAAAAACTCACTGGTTCGAGTTCTTTTGAGGTTCTGTTTTCTCAAGAAAACTCGATTTTAAAATTTCAAGTTATGGTCGACTTTGTTTTTGGAGCTCAAATTTCGGCAGTGTTTCAGTTAAGCTGTTTCTGGGTCTGTCGCTGCATATCCTGGGTTGCATTGCTGCTTTTGAGGTGTTGATTTCACTCTGTTGTGGTGCTGCTGTTAAGAAGCTTTATTTGCTCATTTGTTGGTTATTATACTGATATTAGGTATGTGGAACTTACTTTGCAACTATCTTCTTTTTTTTTCTTTTTTTTAAATGACAAGTTGAATTCTTAATGCCATGACTCTGCCTACTTTTACACATTTCTAATGTCAAATGCTGGATTTCTTATCTTTTTTTTTTTCTTTACTTTTGGGATGACGTACCTGATTGTATTTGTTTATTTAAGTTGAGCACTATTAAGCTTTTGCTATAGTAGAATTGATTGCTGGAATTTTGAGCTAAAAATGGTAAGGTTCTGGAAGGTTGTTTGATTTCTTTTTAGATAGATAATGTTGCTGGAGTTTTAGAGGTGATTCGTGGTCTGAGAGGGGATTTTTTTTAAAGAGTTTTTTTTATGTTGGATTTATAGGGATTCCATGGCTGTTTTAGAGGTATTTTAATGGAGATTTTATGGTAGTATCATGGCAAAATGCTGTTGCATTTTGGTTTATTTACTGTTGAAAATCTTTGCAAGGTCTGTTTGTGGTCAACTTTTCACAATTTCAATTCAAGTTGCATATTAATCAACTTGAGTCGTTGGAGTTGTTCAAATCTTAGTCTTTTGTTATCCCTTTACTTGTTATTCCTTTACTTTGATTCTTCTTTTATATGTATAAATAAAACCTCAACTTCATGAATATACCTATATTTTGAACCAAAACAAAACAACCTGGTTTCAGAAGAACAAGCTTCTTTGGATAGTTCCTTTTAAAATAAATCGTAGCCTGTTACAAAGGAGGCAGATTTGGCCACTGTTAGATAAATCTGTAGCAAAGGACTTTCTTTCTTCTCTTTATGGATTAGTGGCTATTTCGTTACCTAATATGTTGTTCTGTTTTCTCTACATGAATGACCGCACATAAAAATGTCAATTTGTATAGCTATTAAATGTCAACAAGTTATGTTTGCTCCTCTGTATTGCCGGTAACTAGATTTGAATGAGTTCATGTGTTGTTTTAATAATATTTTGTCATCTCCTTTATGAGTCGTTTTTGTGGAATGTAAAATGATAAACTTCAGATTTTTTTTAGAGATTTCTTTAGTATTGATGATTCACATGGACGAAAAAGCAAGTGAACCATCCCATGTGATTGGATTGGTTAATAAGGGTGAAGATAATTTATTAGGACATTCTCTTAAAAGTTGAAACGCATACATTTGTTTCCTATGACAAGGTGGCTAATATCTTGATGTTTGAATTACTAGATCAACATTGTGGCAGTAAGTGTGCCCTTTAACCATTGATTCTCCCAAAATGATCTAAGTATTGAATGTTAGCACTATGTTAAGTTGAAACGTCTGAATAAATTCAAGGTATAGATTATGCTTTAATGATAATGATAGCCAAACTACAACCTTCTTTCACAATAATTATGTATCCATACTTCCATGGCCCTCACAAATATTGCATTTTTTTTTTTAAAAAAAAATTGAATAATCGTAGTTTACTCTAGGCCCGATTTAGATTAGTATTGCAATTATGTATACGTTCGCGTAACATAATTGCAAATTAAATTCTTAAAAGACTCGAGGTATGCGTTCTCGCAACTTCAACCAAATTTTCTTAATAAAATAAACAAAGCGTTATTAATTGTAGACACGTTCACGTGACATGATTTTTGACACGCCAAAAAGAAAAGAGTATACGTACGCGTAACTCAATTCTTTAATTACGAATAAATCAAGTGATTAAAAGCGGTTAAAAGGTAAATGCACAAAGGTTTTAAAAAAAGAGTAGTTGAACAATTAAGCCAAGCATAAATTTCTAAGCGACCGTGCTAGAACCACGGAACCCGGGAATGCCTAACACCTTCTCCCGGGTTAACAGAATTCCTTATCTAGAATTTCTGGTTCGCAGGCTTCAAAAGGAAAGTCGAAATTTCCTCGATTTGAGATTTAAAATAAACCGGTGACTTGGGACACCAATTAAATTATCCCAAGTGGCGACTCTGAAATCAAATAAATAATCCCATTTCGAATAATATCACTTAAATTGGAAAAACTCCCTTATATCCCTTTCAGGGGGTGTGAAAAGGAGGTGTGACAGTTCTGGCGATTCTGCTGGGGATCAAAGCTAGAATCTTTGGTTCAAGGTTCAAGAATTTGAGCTTGTTAATATGATTTTGTTTGGCTTTATTGTTAATATTACTGTATTCTGTGAATATTTTGTGCTAAATGCTATCTGTTTACCACTTTAATATTATTTGAATTGTATATAACTGTCTTCTTACGCCATCCATCTGAGTCTTCTGAAAATGGTGCATACGTTCG